ATATATATATATATTCGTTACATTTTACTAGGTTAGGTAGATCTAGTAGCAACAGCAGCAGCGTAGAAAGCACAATAAAAATAAATAAATAAATCGAAAGTGAGGTAGGTAACTATTAGAAAATAGCTTTGTAAATTATGTACGATACAAAAAAAACCCAGATGTGAGTGCAAAATAAATTTGCGAAACATTTTAAATAGACGCCCAGACCCCCAATTAGTCATCTAAAGAAATGAAATGCTTCCCTCAAATACACGCCAATCTATAGCTAAATTAGATGCCTTGACCCAAATATTTGCAGAGAGCATCATCCACAATGTGTATGTCCTCCACCTAAGACAAATAAAAACCTTCCTCAAGTAGACAATGTCTTCCAAGTAACACCTCCCTTAATAAGTAGAGGCAATTTTCCAATCAGTAGCTGGATGGTAGACCCCCTTAAGACAAATGAATGCCTCCCTCAAACAGATGCTGTATCCCAAATGAACAGCCAGATGTGTCAAACACGTCCAGTAAAGGCCACCTTCAAAAAGACACCATGTCCCAATTAGTTGATGAGTGATTGATCCCCTTGAGATGAGTACACACATTCCTCAAATAGATGCAGTGTCCCTATAAATCTTTGGGGTGTGATCTGTCATGTCTGCATAAGACAACTAAATGCCTTTCTCTGTAGATGTAAATGCGCAATTTAGTCTCGAGGTACGTCCTTGACGTGAGATAAAATAAACGGCTCCCTCTATCTTCAAAACATTTCGGAGGCCTCCTTCAAGGAGAGGCCACGTCCGAATAAGATCAAGGGACACACTACCCTGAAATAGACGCCGTTTTGTGTGCCCGTGGATTGGTCACATCTCAGTGCCAGAGAGGTATTCATTAGGTAGTCCTTTAAATTCTCATTTTACCTTCTTTATTGGCGACGATCGTTCCAATCACGGTCCTATTAGCTTCCACTCTCTGGAGAGATTCCTCAACTTCTGCCTGCAAGATAAACAAAATATTTATGTCATCATACGCAATAATACCCAGCGCAATACAAACACACACATATGCTCATATGATTTGAAACGAAAAGATAAAACCATTTTATTCGTGACAATCCCCGCGTCCTCAAGTTGCCAATGGAAACAGAAGTGACGTACACGGAAGTGACCTCTGCGGAAGTGTCGCATAATCGTTGTTTTCAGGCGTCTGACTTAATAGCGAAAAGAAAATGCCGGAGCTAGCGGTGGAAAATGTGGTCGTTCACCCGTTGGTATTGCTCAGCGTTGTCGACCATTTTAACAGGTCAGTGTGTTTAATACACGTATTTTTTCCGATAGGACTTTTCGTTGTTTAAAACAATGAAAATGATGTCCCTGTGTTGCCAGTGCGCTGTGGGCTAAGCTAAAGTTAGCCGTGCTGAGTCAGAGCGTCATTGAGAATGAATGGAGACGAGGCTAGCAATGTTAGCGTAGTCGTGCTAGCTGTATTTGACACAAATATGATGTTAGCGACAGTGTAAGGTTTATATAATTATATTTTTGACAGCCTTTTGTATATGAATATTACAGTGCCCTCTGCAGTGTACTGAGCACGTTGCATTGATTACCTCGGTGACGCAAAATGACATGAGGATAATCGATGTTTTAACTGTGTCTAATTCATTGGTGCAGAATAGGCAAGGTTGGCAATCAGAAAAGAGTGGTGGGCGTCCTCTTGGGGTCCTGGCAGAAAAAAGTACTTGATGTTTCAAATAGCTTTGCAGGTGAGTGAGTTCACATTAAACTGACCTGTTTAAATCTTAGCAATTGTTAACATTAAACCTTCCATCTATGTTTATGTGCAGTACCGTTCGACGAAGATGACAAGGATGACTCCGTGTGGTTCCTGGACCACGACTACTTGGAGAACATGTATGGGATGTTCAAAAAAGTTAATGGTAAGATGTGACTGATGGCTATCTTTGTAAGTCATGTGAATTTGGATTTCATTCCTATCTGTATTTCATGTTGTATTGCATTCAACATCTACTCATACATATTGCCTTTGTAGCCAGAGAAAGAATTGTGGGGTGGTACCATACGGGGCCCAAGTTGCACAAGAATGACATCGCCATCAATGAGCTCATCAAGCAGTACTGTACCAATTCTGTAAGAAACTGCAGTATTTGACTTCTTTGCATAATGTGTCCTGCAAGCTCAATATTGTGCCTCTTTTAGGTTTTAGTCATTATTGACGTGAAACCCAAAGACCTCGGCCTTCCCACAGAAGCGTACATCTCTGTAGAAGAAATACATGACGTAAGTGAACAATAACAACAACACACTAATCGTTGGGTACATTTTGGAATTTGCAGAGGATATGCTCCAGACCAACCTGCACCTCATGAAAATGTGGAATATAGAGAGACAATATTAAAAGAATGTTTTTTGTTTTTTATAATGTAGTTTTTGCCTTCAGCAGGCCTCAAGTACATTTAAACTTAATCCGGTCCGAACATATAATGCAAAATGCCTTCGACAGTTTAATGGTAATTAGCAAAAATGTTACAGTAATTATCACCCTTCAAACAACTGCTTCACATTCAGAGCAGCAACACACACACACACACACACACACACATACACACACACACACACACACACAAAGAGAGCCTACAACAAAACTCACAAGCGTATAATTTCTATGGGAGCCACAATTATGACTGGAATTTAGTTGGGTACCTACTCTACCTCTTCTTGCTGTCAATTATCAAGCGGCATGTCTTTCATAGAGCTCAACACTGCCTGCCTTGTTGCACCACAACACGGTACTACACTAAAGGCATGTAAATCTAAATCGGAACTTGCTTTTTTTACCTTAAAATCTGTGATGTAGTGGGTGGTACAAATGTGAAGTGTGATATAGTCATATTTTTTATAATGGCAGCGATGTATTGTTTCTTTGTAGGATGGAACGCCAACATCCAAAACGTTTGAGCATGTCACCAGCGAAATTGGAGCTGAGGAAGCGGAAGAAGTGGGAGTGGAGCACCTGCTCAGGTACTCATTCATAGCAGTTACACTCTTGCTGTAACCATCGTAGTAAATCAAGAATTATTGTCGAATGGCAATCATTATTTGGGTTGTTGGGAAGCTATCTTTCTTGCTTTATGTCACAAGACTCTAAATTTCCCATCAATGTGAAGATGAGTGGGAATGGCTGTCTATATGTACTCTGCCATTGAGTGGCAATCAGTCCAGGGTGTCCCCCACTTTTAGATGTCCGAACCGCGCAGCAACACTCCATTCCGTGGTCACCACCCCTCACCACGTACACAATAAATGCGGTTAGCAACGTTGTGCTGCAAAGTTCAGGTTGAAAAGGGCGAACTGCGGGTTGGCCGTGCCTGTTGTAGAAGATTGTTGGATCATTATAAAAAGACCAATCCCCCACTAAACGGTGTGTGTGCACAGAGATATCAAAGACACCACAGTGGGCACACTGTCGCAGCGCATCACAAATCAAGTCCACGGCCTGAAGGGGCTCAACTCCAAGCTGCTGGAAATCCGCTCGTACCTGGAGAGGGTAGTGGCCGGCAAGCTTCCCATCAACCACCAGATCATCTACCAGCTGCAGGACGTCTTCAACCTGCTGCCTGATGTAAATCTGCTGGTAGGTTTCTCAGTGTGGCCGTCCAAAATCACACGAGTTTTAAAAAATTCAAATTGAGGACAAGAAACTCTTTCAATTATCATTATGATCTCTTTCCAAAACTTTACTTGTCTATATTGCGACATACAATTAAATTGTGTTCATTTAAAACGGGCATAAGGACTGTTTCTGTTACATTTGATCAATTCCACTAGTGTCACATACCTCATTTGCATTGGCGTATTCCTTATTTCAATAAGTTCGCGCAAATTCCCCACACAAGATTTATTAGTTGTGACGCCAAAAGAAAAAAAAAAAACATTTCACACGTTTTGAGTAGAGTTGAGGAGTTTCCAACTTAATTCAACTTTTCTATATCAAAAAACATTGATGCATGTTTGAAAACTGAAACACATTTTTCTGTTCGGGAATGCAAGTAAATAAGTGGTATTTGAAAGGAAAAAAATTATGTACTTTTTTTCCCCATCGGTTCTGAACACAGAAAATTCAAGGATCTCACTACAGTGATGCCTTGAGATATGAGTGAGCCGACTGGGATTACAAATCTATTATGTTAATGCTAACACATGATGGGTAACGCCATCGATGTCCTACTTATTATCACGGTCGCGTGGTAATGCTTTAGGCAATACATGAATACAAAAGGTACATCAACGCATCCAGACACGCTATATAACAATTCTCACAAGCATCATTTTCTTCATCCTCTGCGAAAAACAATTAATACTGCAGTTTGGCGATTCACTTTAGAGTAGTCGAGTGAAACTCTTTTTCGTTTGGCTGCATGACTGTATTATGCTGCTGCCCAGTGGCGAAGTCTTGCACAGCAGACGGTGCCGCAATCAATTGATCTTGATGCACAAACTGTTGAAATATTTACATTCTGCTTAATTGTTATTCAATATCTTTTAGAAGCAAAAATACTAACTCAATAAATAAATAGTCAAGATATCACTGTATTTCTAAACACAAGGTAATCAACCCTTAAATTGATTGTAGAGGATTATTTTGTACTTTTATTCTTTTGCCTCATGTCCACCTTCTATTGTGTTGTTGTTTGACTGTTGCCAACTTTGTCTTGGTAGGAGTTCACCAAGGCCTTCTACCTGAAGACCAACGACCAGATGCTGGTGGTCTACCTGGCATCGCTCATCCGCTCCGTGGTGGCCCTGCACAACCTGATCAACAACAAGATCTCCAACAGAGACGCCGAGAAGAAGGAGGGCCAGGAGAAGGAGGAGGGCAAAAAAGAGAAGAAGGATGACAAGGAGAAGAAAGAGGACAAGGAGAAGGACAAAACGGACAGCGCCAAGAAAGATGAGAAAAAGAAGAAATGAGCGGCTCTCTGGCTATCCGTAGGACTCTGTGGGGAATGGTGTCAATTGAGATACACACACTCATACACTCAAAGACTGTTCTTGATGATGATGTTCTGAAACACGAGAACATGTTTATTGTGTTTTCTGAGTTGCCATACATCTGGTGCTGCACTGCACCTCGGCACTGTTCTTTTTTAAGATGCTCTCTGTATCACTTATTAAATTTGAATCGGAATCACATTCAATTCAGTTTTGTTTTTAGTGCCCACTCATGTTGTTTGGTCTTTGAGAACAGATAAAAAGGGAAGATAGATACTCAGTGTAATTGAATAGAATATGTCAATCGGCATTACACATTCATTCACAGACCTTGTCTAAATGATACACGATTTGTGAAAAGTACTTATTTCACGTGGGTAAGTGAGTAATAAATAGGGAGTCACAGCAGCACGCCGCGCTTCTCAAGTCAGTCATTCAGTCCGACTTTGTACAATGGTGTGATGGTAGAGCGTAAACTACCGGTAGGTCATGTGCTATTTATGGCTAAATGAACATCCAAGATGCCATTTGTGATGTTTGTGGAAAAACACTACAGGGTTATGGCAACACAGCAACGCTTGGGAAGCACCTCAGATTAAGTCACAACACAGAATTTGAGCCATAAATGATGAGGTAGCCAGAAGAGGGGAGCATATAGTCTTCCCGTGAGTGCTGCAGGCACTATCTGGGTACAGATGTAGAAAGTTGCTGTGGTTTAAACAGTGCTCAGCACTGTTCTTGCTGGAGTTGTTCAAATTACCATGGTTAGGAAATAAATCATGCTTCAACAAATAGGTGTATGAGTTAAGTTTAGAGCACTGTGTATTACAGATAATCACTCGTACAAAAAAAACCTAGCACTGTGTATTACAGATAATCACTCGTACAAAAAAAAACCTATCGGTTGTTTTATTCAGATGTTTCTTAAAGTATCGTTTAAAGTGGATTATAAATGCTAGGTATGATGAAATTATACAGAGTGATTGTGATATAAAAAAGTCATGGTGAATTTACAAGATCAAACTGGAAAAAATAGTTAAAAAAACTATAAAATACTCTTATTTGCTATTAGTGTAATTTGTTTTAACCTCTCCAATTATTTACTGGCATTGAAAGGGTATTTAAATTTAAGTCACCCAGTATATTACAAAACACTAAGTGTCAACAACTGCCACCTCTACAAAACAGTAAGTGTAAAACAAAATGCTACCCTCCCTATTCGCCGGGGACAGGGACCAAACCAAGCAGAAATAGAGAAAATTTGCCAAATGACGCCCCCTTATCACGGCCTTGCCATCAAAAAAAAAAAAACGTGAATTAGCAGGGACCGATGGGTCAAAATATTACAGAATAAGAGGGAGCTTCCGCGAATAAGTAGAGAATTGAGGCACAACATCATGCATAAAATGGGCGATAGGTTCCCAGATAACCACCAAGCGCGAACTTGCGGGTTGCTTCGAATACTTCAGAGGTTTAAAATAAATGTCATGTCTTGGTCTTTATGAAGCTCTAATTTTTTTTTTCCAGATTTACCAGACACACTACATTTCCACAAAGTAGTGATATCGGAAGAGGATTGGGGCCAATGAAAGAAAAAAAAAAGGTTTGGGAAGTTTCTCACTTTTATCTCCGAATTCTGACTTCTTCTCAGAAGTCAGAATTCTGACATTGATTAATTAAAGTCAGAATTATGATTTCAGAATGCTGAGATAAAAGTGAGTGAATATCTTGCCAGCCGTTTTTTTCCCTTCACTGACCCTAATCCTCCTCCGTAAAATCTCTCCTAAAACATTGAAAACGAATTTATTACAGCTGTTTGTGGAATTTGTGTGCCCACCTTATGTTCGCCTGAGGGTATACCTCCCCTGTCCATAAAATGTAGTGACTCCCCTGGAAAATACATAACATTTCAGGGTTTAGAAAAAAATAATATTGTGTAAGTAGGGTAACCCAATGTTTATTAAGTAGGGTTTTGTATTTGGGGAGCAAAGTACCAAAATAGTCATTAAAAGCACAATGACGATGATCTAAAGGCGAAGAAGGGCGCTTTCAACTGCGTCATTTCCAGCCTCTCGCTCTCTCTCATTTTGGAACACTCCTGCAGTTTGCTGCAATTCATTTGTACCGCCGGCCGGTACCGAGTGGTAGTGTAGTGCAACCGTGCCCAGACACCTCGCGTCGTCCAAATCAGATTATTGCCATTAGGGCAGGAAAAGTGGATCCTGACGTAAGAGCCTTAAATCCTCCGCCACCGCGAACACTCTCGTTCCGAGCTTCTTCATCTCGACAACGGCGGATGCTTCCGCACCGCGCACTGAGCATGACTATTCTGCGTCTTCTCTGAGACGAACCGGGAACAGGACCGGACAACCAACAACAAGGACATGGCGTCGTATCTCCAGGTGAGGCCGCCGCCCGAGTCCGACACAAAAACGTCCGTCCAATAATTAACTTGTGATGGTTCTGACGTGCCGCGTTGTAGTCACAAGCAGCTCCAGACGAGACTGACCTGCTGTGGTTTATCTCATTCAAGGAAGCAATTTATTTGTGGTAAATGTGAATTTTTATTGTTTTTTTTTTGGGGGGGGGCGGAAGGGCTAAACAGGTGGTTGAGGAGCTGGGCTGTTGCCAAGGCGCGTGCACGCGGATACCTTGTGTATCGGCCCTTGCATTCGGGAAAACACATACCTTGAAAACTGCGACACTCTCTTACCGTCTGTTTTTATTTTGGGTTTATTTGAAGGTTTCTCCAATTGTCCAAAGAAAGAATACATAAACATCGGCTACATTTTAATCATAATGCACGTTAAAAAGAAAATCTAACTGGCCCAGCAAATGATCAGCTCCGTTGGTAATCAACACTATTGGTTCACAACCTGTTGCTAGGCAGATTTCACATGTCCAAGCGTAACTTCCGCAAAAACAGGTGTGCATTTTTGTCTTCTTGCAACATCTTCGATTACACGTTTAATTATTTTTTGGATTTTTCTTCCACTTGCTCAGAGAACACACAAAACATAATATTCATTATTAAAAACATTTAAAAAAATTACGAACAAGCATCTAAACAGGCTCAGCAATTAACACTATTGGTCGCCCACTTGTTGCCAGGCCGAGTTAATAAATCCACTGCAGAAGTTGTACAGCAACTCCACTCGGACTAACTACCACTGACTACAAATTTAGACAAACCCCCTGACCCCCCCCCCCCCCGCAAATGTATATTTTATATATTAATTTTACTATTTTCACCATTTGCACTTTGGTGTTAGAATTAATTTGTCCCAAAAATCAGATGGATTCCTTAATAACTACAGTGAGATACAAATAAGTAACAGTGAGAACAATCATAACCACGGCAAGAATTCTTGTAATGCTGCTGTTGTGAAAGCGCTATATAAATCAGGATGTATTGTATTGTATTGTATGGAAAGCACAGAGTTAAAAATGAACATGCACTGACATTGTGCATTTTGTATGTTAAGTTTTTGACAATGTAGCAAGTTTGTCGTCACGACATCGGAGACACGTGGTAAAGAAAGTGTTTTTGTGCCAAAGGCATGATATAGATCCTATTGTTAGATACAATTCCGTAAGCAACCACAAAGACTTTTAACAAAACTTGAATATGACAGCAACAAGAAGTCAGGCTCGTGCAAGGATAATGATTGTACAGCTCATTCATGGGGCAGATTTATTTATCCCCATTCATTTCTCAGTTGAAGCGCTGCTCTGTATTAAGTATAACTGCAACAAATGCAATCATCACTGTTCACGCAACCAAATGCAATGCCAAAATCACAAAATCAGTAGTATAATATGCAGAAAAAAATTGGCAGAAGTCTGCACAAAATGATTGCCTCCCTTTCTGTGTACAGATCGCAGATGATGAGAAAGGCTACAACCTCGACCTTTTCTGTGTGCCCAGACATTACGAGAAGGATTTGGACAAGGTGATCATTCCTCATGGACTCATTATGGACAGGTGAGCAACACAAGGGGGGTTATTCACACCCATTTGTGTTGATAGTAGAGTGCACCTGGATGCATTTGCTTCTCAAATCACTACAGTCCTTTTTGCACGAGGTGAATTTGAATAATGGTTTTGGAAGGCAGGAGTGCAGTAGGGTAAGGCGCGTAGGGCATTATTTTAATTTCTGACCTCAAAAAAAGAAGCCCTGGTGCTTTCAAGCAAATCTCAGAGATGGTCATCCATCTATCTGTCCATTCAGGTGGGCTTGGGGCTATCTGAACTGACTTTGGGGGGGAGGCAGGGGACACCGTGGACTGGTTGCCAGTCAATAACCATTCACCTTCAGATTTATTTGTTTAGAATTTACACAGACGACATTTATTCTGCACTGTATTGTAGTTCAGTGTCAAGGTTTTGTTTGCGCTCCAGGACGGAGCGCTTGGCCCGCGACATCGTGCGAGACATGGGGGCCCACCATATCGTCGCCCTTTGCGTGTTGAAGGGCGGCTACAAATTCTTCGCAGACCTGCTGGACTACATCAAGACGCTGAACCAGAACAACGATAAATCGGTCCCACTGACGGTGGATTTCATTAGAGTGAAAAGTTACTGCGTAAGTTCACGCGCTCTCTTTTCATTGCCAGCATCTGTGTGAGATTTATGTTGGCGATATTAAAAGTGGAAAAACACTAAGACTAATCCAGTGTAGGAAAGGATACGCTACACATTTACAGTAGACCTTAATAAATTTGACTGTTTTTTTTTCTTGATTTCAGTTCCATTCGAATAAGTGAAGACTGTTTTTTTTTTCTTGATTTCAGTTGTTCCATTCGAATAAGTGAAGCTCAAAGAAATTCTTCAAACACAGGAAAATATTTTCCATAGACAAATTCCTTCCTATTTCTATATTACGACTATGATAATTTGGATTTATTTTCTTATATATTTAGTAATATTCCAATTTCTTTACATTGTGACTTTTGGGATTCCATGAGGTGTAAGCAATAATCATCAAAATTCCAAGGAATAAAATCATGACTTTGAGTTTTGGAACTAAATGACTGAAATATTACATTTTCCACCATATTGAAATTCATTTAAATTCACGGGGGTGCTGCCAAGTCAAGACACCACTGTATTTGTATTGGAACGAACAATAAGGCTTCACAGTATGACCTCTTTACAACCCCTAGAATGACAAATCAACCAACAACGTCAAAGTCATCGGCGGCGATGATCTGTCCAGTCTCTCAGGCAAGGTCTGTCCCCTCCTCATTATTACTATTGTCGCCAATCATTTCTATACACGTGTTTAAATATGACTCTCATTAACACTTTTGTTACCTCTCCAGCATGTTTTGATAGTTGAGGTAAGATACTCTTCTTGGAAATTTTAATTTAAACGGGGTACACATATACTGATTTTTTTTTTTAAATGTCATGATTCAGCAGGTTTCACATGATGCTTATCAACCGTGACTGTTTACTTTGCAGATGGCAGAGGAAAACAAAATTAGCTTAACACGCCTGACACAAGATAATTGATCAGGATCATTGATTAGATCACTGTTTGCCAACCTTTATTTAGCCAAGGTACATATTTCAGATAAGAAAATTCTCACAGCACACCACCAAACAAAAATGCCCCAATAAGTACCAAACATTGAAATAATGATCTGCTATTATTTCACTCACAAATGTACTTGGTGTGAACTCTCGGCCTTGAGTTAAGCACAATGTTGACAGACTCGCATGAAGATCTAAGATTAAAAAAAATTCTGAACAATTAACTCATTCAGTACCAGCCAATTCTGGACCAAGTCTGAAAAGACGTTGAAAAACGTCTTTGGGAGTGAATGAGTGAAGGGAAATATGGCTTTTTGGGGGTGTTTTTAAGTACATTACACCACCCCCGCTCGCCACTGTTTAGCGCAACATTAATTAGTAGTTTTGCAAATACATAGTTTTGTAAGAACCATCAGTGAAACTATTTTGATCCAACTAAAAGAGAACAATGCTTTTTGAGTACTTTTGTAAGCATTTGTAAATTGCCAAAGGACGAAGGGCATTAGAAAATCTTGCCTGGGGTGTCACATTGAGAGGGGCTGGCTTGAGTTTAGAATCATTTGACACTGAATTTGATGCTTCAGTTCATCTTGATTATTGGTATGTGTGTCCCTCGCTTAATAAAACACTGATAAATAGCTGTATTTGTGTTTGACCAATCATGCCCTGCCTCCCCTTGCACAAAAAGGACATCGTGGAGACGGGAAGGACGATGCAGACGCTGCTCTCGCTGCTAAGTGAAAGCAGGCCCAAGATGGTGAAAGTGGTGAGGTAAGGCCATGCGCCCACATCCAGGAAGCAGACGGTTAGCATGCTTCCAGGCAGCGTGCACGTGAACATTAATGGACACTCTTACTTTCAGCATGGATCAGCTTAAGACTTAATCTGTACTGACAGAGAGCGGGTCGGGGGGAGCAGGAAGTGTGTGAAGCTTTGTAGGTTTCCTGTCATAGGTCTAAAAATAGCATTGTCTTTCTCGATATACATAGCCAATGCTTTCACACACTGATGAGAGAAATTTTATTCAGCGTTTAAAACAACAAAGTAGACTAAGATCGCAATTTAAAGGGTACTTATAGTGAACCCCGCTTCGACTATAGGGGAATATGTTCCAAATCCACCTAAGACAAATACATTCAGAACACAAATAGAATGTAATGAATTGAACGGTTCACGCATCATTATCAATTGTGTGGCTTCTTCGGGTGTGGGTGACTTGGCCACCAGGTGGCGGCATAATACAGGCATATTTTAAAGAGACAGTCACAACTGCTCAGTAAGCTGCAGTAATGGTGATTTCTCACAGAGGATGAACAATACTGTATGTGCCTGTAAATACCATTTGTGTTCAAATAGCTGTTGCTTAAAGGGTTTTTGGCGCTATTTGATTTGGGAGGTTTGTGACTGTGTCGACCACAGCGAATAGAGTACGTGCATTGTTTAGGTTCTTTCTAATTATTTCGGAAAAGTGTTGTTGTCTAGTGTTGAATAATTCTTTGTTACAAGTACAAAGACATTGTCTGTACAGGTCGGCAAATTTCTCCGCCAGTCCCATCTATTGTCAGTCTTGTCCCTCTTGACCCCACCCACCCCCCCAAGAAAATCAAAAAAACAAAACAAAAACATCATATTCCAACAGATGAAAATTAGAATTTGATTAAAAATGGTAAATGGAGTGAGTGCACCATCTATCAGGATATTTCCATCACCTGTGTTCTTGTCTTTGTGCAAACGATGATCTTGATGGGTGAGGAGGCACTCCAGGGACTCAACTATTTTTAGATCAACATTTCAAAAGTCAACGTTTACGTAATATTTCACCTTTTAAATGTGACAATGGTTGCTAAAAAAAAAAAAAAAAAAAAGATCCCTCAGGCTGGTTTGCCCGATAAACTTTGACCCCAAAACACAACGGAGCTGCGGCTCATGAGCTAATTTTAGCTTTCTGAACTAATTCCAAGTGCCCAGAGTAGAAATGAGATCCTGGATTGCAATTGTTCGCCACACGCATGAACATTGTTTTTAGAAACATCATCCTGTTCACCATAATATCAAAAAAATAGTGCAGCGTCTGAATAATAGCAATACAGTACACAATATCAGTCAATGTTTTCTATCTTTATCCTACAATTGAGTTACTTGCACTTGTGTGCATATTTGTCAAGACATTTTCTATTCAGTGTCATTTAGTATGATCATACATTTTCTTCCTGTTTGCAGTCTGCTGGTGAAGAGGACGCCCAGGAGTTCAGGGTATAGACCAGATTGTGAGTGCATCTATTGGCATCAATCTGGTTCTGGCTCCTTAGCCAAACACAGTTGGCCATCAAAGTCTCCGCAGATGTATATTGATGTATACTTATGTAACGATGCAATGCATTACTTTACATCACTCTTTTTTTTTTAAAGGGCTTTTAGCATTATCTATGAAAGCTGTCATCAGGATTAACATTAATTTGAGGAAAAATGTTTGCATGTGATCACCACATGTTGTTGCATAACACTTTTAGCTTTGATAATCTCAAGATTGTCCCTTAAGGACACTTGCTCGCGGTGCTAAACTGCTGCGTTTACGTATTAATGCTGATCGGGTCCAAGTCGCTACAGTTAATACATTGAACATTCCTTTATCGTGAGTTATATGTTTCAGACACACAGGCAATAGATAGACCTATAATTTTTATTGTTGGACTGTATCTGAGGACATATTTTTGAGGTTTTAACCAACCCATAGGATTTAAACGCATTTAAAGAACGGTATATTATGGGGGTTCACTACACCGCAACCTTTCCTTACCTGCACCTCCATTAGTCGTTTGGATGGCTGTTGCTAGCATGGGCTAGCAATGTTAGAATGCTAGCAACAGCCATCCAACGTGTTTTTACTCTGCAGACATTGGATTTGAGGTGCCTGATGCCTTCCTGGTGGGCTACGCTTTGGACTACAACGAGTACTTCAGAGATCTCAGTGTAAGTAAGCACTCAACACTCGATGAAGATGGCGCCGCCAGAGTGGCTGCCTTAACAGCAGCTCTTATCATAATTTTGCTGCTGTCACTTGGGAATTTCTCCATTGTGTGACAAGTAAAGATTTTCTTATCTTATTGCGTCTGGGAGGTGAGTCTCTTCGCAGTACCACGAAACAGAGTATGGAGAACATTCTTTAGTGTTTATATTGATGTCAGCTTTTTGTCAACATCTTTTACATTTAACATCAATGACAAACAAAATCAATGCCACTTTCAGACAGAGTCCTAAATGAGAAATTTACTACAGAAATTTCACACAGAGATCCTGAAAAAGTACCATAACTAACTAACCATAACCATAACATAAATAGCAAATGTTTCTGTTCTTTCTCTGCTCCCTCACAGCACATCTGCATACTGAACGACGAAGCCAAGGAGAAGTATAGAGTGTGATGCGATGGCAACTCAAATGGATGACAACAGGGACCACTGTGATGAGCTTCTTCTTCTATTCTTTATTTTTATACACAAAAGCCCACAAAATGTGCAAAAGAACATTTTCTTACCCTCTGACCGAAAGAAGTATGACATGTTTTGGTTGGATGATTTATTTATTTATTGATGTTAAGAATTGTTTTAAGTGTACATTTAGATTTATCTCTATTATAAGGAAAGAGAATGTAACTCATTTGCTGACTCAGGCTTTTCAGTGAGTGAAAAGTAGCCTTTTAGTTTGTGCATATACTCTTGCCACCTATATATTACAGTCATAAAATGTCAATGTACTGTATAGTCACACATTATGCCAAGTGGACTGATGACGAACATCGTGCTGTATATTTTATTTGGTCAAGTGCATTTTCATCATAATGGGCGCTGCAATACAATTTCAGTTGAAAGAAGGCACGATCCTGATTTACTGATGCCACTCACAAGACTTTCCCTGTATGGTTAGTAATGACAAAAAGATTGTATTATCCAGGGATTTCTTGATTTACAATGGAGTTCCCTTCCCATCAAATTGATGCGTAAAAATTGTTGCATTGTATCCACAGCTGAAAAAAAATGAATTAAAAAATTATCTAAGATTTCCAGCAAAATTGCCACCAGTTCCGCAGCGACATCCCACACAATGAACATTTCTTTCCGATGCCCTGCAGAATTTCAGCCTTTCACGCAGATGCCCGAAGATTACATCCTCTTTCACACAAAGATTTAAAAAAAATTACTTTGCACACAGAGACCATGTGTAGTTCACACAAAGATCCCACAAATTACCAACTTTCACTTTAACTATGCATAAACAATCAAGTTCCTTTTTTTTTACTGACAGACAGCACATTATTTTTCACTAATTTTTATAAATGTCACTCTTAGTTTGCTGTTGCAACAAAAAGCCCCTTTTTTGACGCAAGTCATACTTATAATGAGAGACACTTTCGTTTCCAGTTTCCACCAGTACAATTAAATGAAAAATGAGAGTACGGACTTATTTTTTTGGCCCAAATTTTGTAATTTACTGGCAGAAATTGTTTTGCTAGGCCACAACAATCTAATGGAAAAAGAGTAAATACACGGCACTAGTGCGTTCATGTGCATTTTATAACCTACAAACAGCATGTCATTAACTGAAGACACCTGTTATCATAAGCTAGAATACATCAATTATTAATACAACCACAACAAAAACATTGGAGGGTAAGTTTTCAATCATCATTAGAGGTTATGGGTAGACGAGGAGATATCCAATATTAATTTCCCCACTAAAACCGCCTCAGAGGTCCTCCAATCGGGGGTGGCGCTGTGGGACACATTGGTGTTTAACACCGCTGTCATTCCCATCATACTAACGTTCACCGTGTTGTTGAATCTTCGACGTTTTAGGTTTTTATTTATATTTTTTACACTACGCTAACCCTCATAACATTCAGCTACATTAACAATCCTACATTTAGCCCAGAACGGAAGCGTTTTTTTCTTTTTTGGTACGACGTTGCTCAACTCGTTTACCTGAGTGGAGTTAGCTGGCTCTCGTTTACCTGAGTGTAGTTAGCTGGCGCTCGTCGTGACCTTTTCCCAACTGCTCAGATGGACGTCAAGGAGGAGACAATGGCGGCGTTCGAACTCTTCGACGCCAGGAAGCAAGCAAGCACAATCGAAGTGGCCGAGCTCCCTCAAGCCTCTGTCCTGGTCCCTCTGTTTGTGAGGAGCGGGAAGATACACACTCTGATGACCCAGCGCTCGGAGCAGGTAACCGCACTGCACACTCTGGACCCTTGGTGACCAATATGGTGCCCGCGGGCACAAGGCTGCCCTGAGCATCACGATTTTATCAACGTATTTCTATCATCCCTGTAAGAATACATTGTCAAGTAGTGCAGCTCAAATAAATCCGGAATTACTGTATTTTATTGGATTGTTTCGTATTTTTGGTTTAGATGCATTTTTGTTAGTACTGTTATGACTTTACAACCTTTACGATTCTTTGTCTTCACTAACTTGAGTGCAGCTGAGGGTGGGTGCGGGCGAGGTGTGTTTCCCTGGCGGCAAGCGAGACCCCAGTGACAAAGATGAGGTGCACACGGCCTTGAGAGAGGCTCACGAGGAGATTGGCCTTCTTCCAGGTGACGTCCATGTCACCTGCAAACTGCTACCCATCATTTCAAAGGTACAGTGAACCCTTGATGTATGTATCGTGGATCACTCGACACTCTACTAGGCGCCACCCATTGAATCCACAAGCAATGTACACAGACACCACAAGAAGTGCAGGTCGTCAGAACTTTGTCTTTTGACCAGAACGCCATAATAGTGACTCCGGTTGTGGGCTTCATCCCAGAGTCGTTCCTCGCCCATCCCAACCCTGCAGAGGTGAGTGCCGTTTTCACAGTTCCGTTGGACTTGTTCATTGGACCCACCGCCTCGCCCAAGGCCACATTGGTGCCGTCGCTTTCCTTTGACTTTGTGGAGCCCCACACTGGAGCCAGGTATCACATTTGGGGTCTGACCGCCATGGTAGCCTTTGTGGTCGCCAGCATCGCTCTCAAGACCAAAGCCGAGGGTCATGAGACTTTTAACGCTGAGGGCTTGATGTCCATGCTCAGGCAGGGGTTACAGCAAAGAATGAGGACTCCAAGTAAATTGTGACTTGTCATTTCATTCGACTGAAGATTGGGATTTGTACAAAGGACAATTGGGTTTCATTTGTATTATATAAATATATATTTGACTTGTGTTTTATTATTAAAAGCATAAATTTCTAACTTTTCAAAAGTGAAGTTGTGATGTTTTGAAAAAGTTGTACTGAGATGTGACGAAAGTGAAAGCAATTTTCTCAATTTGAGGAGTTGTGAGAATAGATGCTTTGTAGCAGTGGAGTATGTTTTATATATCCTTTTCATAAATTAATACGACTTACACTTCTGGTGGGGACAGGACTTTTTGGGGTTGTATTTTAACAATTTTTCATTTTCTTAAAACAAATTAATAGTTTAATTATTATCATAACATACAACATGCTTTTCATTTTTGGCTGTATTGTTGCGTGGGAGGGAGAAGGGGGTGGGGGGGTCAATCTGCCTCCCTTCACCATTCGTGTATCTCTTTTTGTCAATGGACGCTACAGCTTCGTGTTTGCTTTCAAAACTTAGCTTGTAGCAGACATGTGCACATTTTCAGCATGGCGTCTTTGATCCACTGGTAAAAGGACACTCTGATCCTCTCCTCTTTCGTCTATAACTGCTTCAGACAACAAAGTGTATGCAGGAAAGTGGTGAAGATTGCACAACTGTCTGTGTCCTGTGTGTCGTGTTATTTTTGTTATTTTGACTTCAGGATGACGCCGCGAGAGTGGCTGCCTTTCCAGCGGCTCCTTTGCTGCTGTGAATACTCTAATTGCCCCACGGGGATAAATAAAGTTTTCTGAAACTGAAAAAACTGAAACTGAAAGTGTATGACCGTGACCTGGGATGCCTGAGAACCCACACACACAAAAATGTGGGCTGGACAATGAAAAAAAAAACCCAATGTGTTATTTTTTTCACTTTTATTAATTAATTTAATGTAGCAGCAGGATTACAGATACAAACTGAAGAGAGTATACAAATGTCCAGACCAAGGCAAAGTACATAATGATAATTCAAATGAATGATAACACACTGAGGGGGCTTGACCATTATCCCTAAATGCAGGGCTGTAAGGCTAAATATATACTACACACACGCGCACACACACACACACCCACACACAAAACAAGAATGACAAAGCAAACTGAGGGTAAGCTCCTTTTGACTACAACAGTACGACATACGGCTCACGCTATTGGCAATGAACAGTAACTTATTTTTTTTTGCCTTTCACAGCAACAGTCGAGTAAATGCAGAGAAGCACGGCAGCACAAAAACACCCTTGCAAGGAAACAAATCGCCATTATTTCGTCCCTTTTTAAAAACAAAACAAAACAAAAACAACTCAATTCAATCTCACGAGGCACCCCAAAATAGGTAGAATGATATCATGCAATGGTTGTTCAAAAATACAAACAACCAGTATGGGCTGTAGTTTTGAAAAAAAAATGCAGGAGATAAGGGGTGGAAAGGACAGTAAAGAGAGTCAACAGCAGAGAAAACTTTTTTTTTTTTCCAAGGCACACAAAGTTCTGTTGAAAGCGCCACCATTGAAATTCAACATACCCCTGCAGTATAATTCACATTTAAATATACACGGATATTCATTCACACACCAGTGAAGGACAAAAGTGTGTAAAAAGGTAAAAGATTTGTGTGCTTTCACCCCCCGCCCCCCCACTTCAGTCGAGTGTTCTCTACTTCAGGACCGACAATGATGCATTAAAAAAAAAAAAAAAGGACAAATGTACACGTTTGCCGCAAATGTTCTCTGCAAATTGGTCTGATGTGCACATAGCATGAGGTAAAACAATTACATTCATGAAACTGAAGCCCACCCACTCACTCTCCTCTTCTTCTAGTATGGCTTTAAGAAGCATACTCTTCTCAAATGTGCTTTTTAGTTCCCCCTATAATCAAGAGGAATGGAATGCTTGAAAACTGACAAGTGTGCGCTAACCTGGCCTACAGTTTACTGGATGAGTTTAAAAAAAAAAATAAATAAAATTAAAAATGCCACTTTTGAGATGTTTGACCATTGCCACTAGACCATGTAGCGCATGTGGCAGTGGGTTATTACAGATGGGATCCAAGGTTTACCGTGTACCGCGTTTCCAGGTTAGGAATGGAATGCCATGCAAGAAAATGCCATCGCGCGGCACACAAAGAAACGCTTAGTTCCCACTGTACTTACTGGTTTTCATTTGTTCTATATTAAAGGACGAGTGTTTTTCATACATTTGTTGACTGTAATCCTGACTTTAGTGATCTGTGACAAATTACGGGGTTACATCAATGGTGTAATACAATTTTGAGAATAAAATGGAATATTTGGGGAGGAAAAAAAAAAGATTCACGCGAGTCATACTGTGTATACAGTGGATCCCCACATATTCCTGGTTTGTTTATAATAATCTGACCTATTTTAGTTTTGGGGCGGGAACCAATGGGACCCGATAACCTTTTTGGTTGTTTTTTACCTGAACAAGCCCCTCGTACTTTTTCCCCCCAGAATTTGTATTCTTCATGAAAATTATAAGGGAGTATCAATTAGTGACACATTTTTGCCAATTGCAGTCTGTCACCGCAAAAAACCATTCTGTACTTAAAACAAACTATACCCTTTCTCTCAAAATATACAACTTAAAGCTGCAAACTTACACAAATAATTTCTCTGCAATATTTAGAGTCCTCGGTTATTGTTTCAAGGTTAATTGATTTATATTAATGACCTTCGAGTCTTTCTCAGAAAAATATTTACTGTAATTCTGACTTTACTTGTGAACGTGAAACCATAGAAAGAAGTCAAGAATAATGGTTTCTTCAACTATAAGTTACTGAAATGGGGATTTTGGTAACAAGAAAACTTAAAATAGCTCTTTTATATATTACATACGAGAATTTGAAATTAGCGTAAAATTTTAGTAAGCATCATATAAGTCAACATGTTTGATTTGCTTTCGCGGGCCACATCAAATGATGTGGTGGCCCAGATCTGGCCCCGGAGCCTTGAGTTTGACACCTATGGCATAAAGTAACGAGCAAAACATTTGGGTCATGTTTCATTATGTTCTAATGGTGAAAAAAAAAATCTGAAATGTTCTGAAACACAAGTCATAAGAGTATGAGAATTAAGTACCGTATTTTTCGGAAGTTGCTAAGGAGTATAAGCTGCACCAGCCCAAAAAATTCAGCGTGAAGAGGAAGAAAGAAAGAAAAAAAAAAAGCCATACTGGACTAAAGTCACATTTATGAGGGAAATTTATTTCACAAAAACCGAGACCAAGAACAGTAGAGTATGGACTCACACCCAAAATGCCTGTTCCCTAATCGTATTGGAAGCAGCGAACAACTTTGATTCAAAAACTTCTGCTTAGAAATGCATTTTTGTTTCTTCTTCGTTTAAAGTGAATCGGTGGAGACTCAAATTAAGATAACAATTGGTCATAAAATCTGAATTTCCGGATTTGAATAATTTATCATTGAATGTTGTCTCACACACACTCCATTTCAGAAGGTGGCATTTTTTCAGACGTAAAACAATGTAGCCTTACGACGTTGTTGGTGTCGAGGTCTGAGAAACAATCATACAATAAATGGAATTTATACTGTTTTTTTTTTTGTTTTATATGTGTCAAAAGTGTTTTAATACAAATATGAACTGTAATTATGACTATTGCTGAAGCTTTGTGATAGACTACATATTACATACAAATCCAGGTTACGTCACTGGAGTATGAATATAACTCAGTCGTAAACGGAGGATCCTCTGTATACAAGATGAGGAAAAAGAAAAGAAAACTCAGGTCAATCTGGACTTACTTGGAGCACAACACACCTGCGCTAGCTTTCGGACAACATACCACCACTGATACTATTCTGCACTGTGAGAATCCAACAACACCTCTTTGTTTGTTTCAGTTACAAAAATACTCTACACTTTGATACATGGATACAAAAGTCTAAAAAAGATAATTTACTTTAAAATGGATCACGAACAGCGACCAGACTAGAATAAAGATGAAAAATGTAAACAAAGAAGTGAGACACCATTTTTTTTGTTTTTGTAGATATGCTTAAGTACGTAGAGCGGTGTGATGTTACGATGCTTGTTTGAGGGATCAAATTGGCATAAATGTTCTTTAAAGTACCTTTTACATATCTTTCTCTGGACTGTACACACTTGAGCTGCAAGTAGAATTGAGTAAACATTACGAGGGCGGGGGGGGGGGGGTATTTTGTCGTCAGGAGCTTTGGTTTGACCACTGCTTCAAAGCAACAACCAGATGACAATACATGAAATTAAACTGATTAGTAGAGTGCACCAACATGGCACAGCAAAACCAAAATGGGACGCCTCCATCATCGTAGTTACCGTTCACAAAAGTCGGGAAGGTGCCAAAGTCACATGCTGCCTGCCTCTTCTTTAAAACTTCCACAGACACGAGGTCAACCAGTATGAACATATAGAGCAATATGATAAATCTTCATTTCAACCAAGTGTTAGGAAGAACACAACATCTGACACAGGACTGGAAAATACCGATTTAAAAAAAAAAAAAACATGGCCAGAGAGAATGGCCAATGCACAGGCCACACTGAACCGACGAGCAGTATTCGGGCCACACGGAAATAAATTAGGGTGAAAAAAAGTAACAACGTTACTGAATAAAGTTGTGGGGGAGGGGAAACAACACTGCTGCCATTTGATGAGAATGCTTCAGAAATTAGATGGATGGTGAATAAAATTCTGTTACAACAAAGTTGATTTTTTTTTTTACCCGGGAAATATTTTGAGTCCTATTTTTGAAGAATACAGATAATACTATGAGAAAGTAACTTTAACGTCATATTTGCAGAATTAAGTTGGACTGAGATTCAGTTATATTAGCAGAATTATCTTAACATTTCACAAGAATTATTCATTGTGTTAATTGGATTTTTTTTCTGAGGGATTATTTAGAGAAGAAAAAAAAGTGTTTGTGAGAGGAAAAAAAGTTATAATGTTAACGGAATAAAGTTCACATTTTTCCTGGGGATTTTTCTTTAAATACGTTTTGAGAAAGTGTCGGATTTTTAAAAGAAGTCAAGAATGTTAATAATTGGATATTTTCCTGGTACATTTTGAGGGTTAACTAACACTTGTCTTGTATAAACATTTTCTGAGGATAAAGCTGAGAAACCAGTTGTAACAATAAAAAAAAAAAATGCATTTGCAATATAATCCCGAGTAGACTTGCTATTGGGAACGGAAGTTGTCAGAGGAGTTCAAAATAGGCAGAAACGTCAGCACTTCAAACCTGCTGCCGTAGGTGTACGTCATTTTCAGCAAGTTTTCACTTATGAGACCTCAAGGTCAATCTAACGCGTTTCGATCTTTTTTAGTCTTGCGAAGTTTAAAAAACAAAAACAAACAAACAAACAAAAAAAAAACACCCTCTGTGCTATATATTTTGTTTCATTCCGGTTGCTGTCATATATTGGAGCCACAGACTTAGATATGAGTGGACTAACAAATGGACACTTGCGGCTGAAGCCAGAGCGCAGCCACCTTACGTTGCCTTACAACTTCTATTTTTTTTATTAAGTTATCAGTGCAATCATTTTGCTCTCAAAGAATCAACTTCACTGTTTGCATCCACCATCAAGAACATATGTCAGTATCGTGATTCGTGACTTCGAGGTTAACATTTTGCAGCACATTTTGTCCTGATGAGCTTTCACTTTACTGTTGATGGTTCTGACAACATGATGCAGGCCAATCTTTCAGAAGCACTCGGAGATATACCTTGTACGAGAACATTTATAATCACATTCTTACTGATGAAATGTGCATGTAGGGCTTCTTCAACCACAGACTGTGGTTCACCGTAGAGACAGAAAATAACGTGAAAACGCCGCAGAGGAATCAATTATTCAAGCTATGCGCCCATCGTGGCACCATATGAAATGATGTTCCTCCTCATTTAATTGAGGCGCCGTCAATGCATCTGCCACCGCTTGTAATGCCTCCTGGTTCTTTAGCCGGTTTTGAAGTCGGATGACGGTAAGTCATTTATTTTTTTATATATGCATATTGTTATTTAGTGATGTAGATCGTTAAGTTCAGTGTTTAAGATGTGCAGCCCACATATAGCCATATAATTTTTCATGAAACATGAGAAATTGGAAATGTTGAAGTGGTAAAGCCACAGATTTGTTTGCATTGTTGTTGTAATCCACGCCTTCATTTGTTTGATGTCTTTACCCCATTTCCCCCTACATCCCCGGTGATCGACTTGGGACCAGTCCACGGGCTATCGGTCATCGCGATTGACTTGTTAAGAACCCCTGCTATAATGTATAATAGCTTTGACATTGTTTTTGTAAGAAAGATGAATTCATTGCTTGTTTGTTAAAAAGAAAAAAAAAGTGGAATGGACCTTGAAAAAAAATGACATTAAAACAGAATCGCAATTTATAGGGGAAAAAAAATGTTTTAGTCCTTGTTGGAACATGGCGGGAAGAGCCCTAATTTAGCCAATAATAAAAGATGTATCCTGATTTATTCTCGCAACTTTATGACTTAATTCTTGTAATATTAGGACTTGTTCAAACATTCAGCATTTTTAATCTTAAAATTAAGATTTTATTCTTATATAATTGAAACTTCATCCTGGAATTAAAAACAAAAAAAATTTGAAACTTCATCCTGGAATTAAAAACAAAAAAAAAAAGGCCCCTTTCATACAGTACAACTTGGGATTCACATTTTGAATCTTTCAATACTAAGTTGGCCTCGAAGTACAAACTATTGAGAAGATGCTCTGCTATGTTTTTATCCTGCAAAGACTGCTTTTTTCACCACCGTTTTGATGCCTTGGTGCGTGTTTATGTTTTCGCATATGGATGGATGCATGGATGGATGTAAGGGTTAGCTGGATACACAGAGGAGGTTATAAAGTGCTTGAGATAAAATGTCTCTAAAACCACACAACACTCAAAGTGTAAAGTTTCTATCCACATTGAGTTGGACCAAAAAAAAAAAAAAAAGATAAGACAAACTTCATAGTTGTTTGGAAACACCGAGATAAGTCACAGTATTCAACCGGGTTCAATCTCATTCGGGAGTGTTAAACTTGAGTCAACAAAACGAATGTGCTTCATAACACTTTTGACTATTACAGTGAACCCCCACTATATGGCAATTTGTTTGAGATCCCCCTATATCGCAGATTTTGACGCAATATTTTTCTCATTTTTTTTAACAGTATACAGTTGTTTGAAGATTTAAACATATTGTCTTACTGTAACCACGGAAACGGCTGACTCAATTTATCACCAGTTACTAGGGTTAGAACACTTCCTTTTTGTTTGGATGTCTTTGTGAATGGCTTGAAAAGTTGACAACTGTATACTGACGGAACCAAAACCAGTAGAGAGTATTTGAGCGATGTATGCACAAGATGAAAGCTCCAGTGAACATAGGGCTGTAGAGCGTGTGGCCTTGGACTCCCGACCCCGCTGCACGCTCAGCTGCTCCACCGCCATGGCCAAAATGGAGGCGATCGCAGCGGGCTCGCTAGCAGAACTAGAGTACCAGGCTCTGTCTGTTAATTGCGTCTGCAAACAAAAGCTGCCAATTCAGAACACATGGACCCCGCTCGCTGTTACGGGCGGACGTTTTGAGCTTCAGCTGGACACGACTATTTCTGCAAATTTTCTGTTAAATAAAGACATCCTTGGTTCTGGTTCCATCAAATCGAGGTTCCACTCTATATAGTCTTTTTAGATTGTAGATTTTCTTGGGTGGGTCTGGAATTTAACTGTTGCAATAATTGTGGATTCACTGTAATAGTTTGTGGACATTATATTTTTTTGAAAGTGCCTTCCCTTCAATTGTACATAACATAAGAGCATTTACCGTTAGAGCAAATTTGAGTGATTAAAAAAAACAAAAAAAAAAACAGATGCACTGCGAGCATCACCTCTCCGAGCAAAAGATTTTTTTAGATTCCAAACTCCCAAAAATTTGATTCAGCGCAATGTTTGTCTACAATCAGATGTTCTAATCGACGTATAACTGTTATAGCGACTTTTGCCTATTCACTGCTCATGGAATTCCCCAGTTGTGACATTCTTCCATCCAGTTTTCCATCCAAAAAAGGCTGGTTTTCCCCCTGTCTCCTAGGCCCACAATATTAAAACACTCATGAAAAAAACAAAACACTGCATTTGTTTTTACGACTAAAGCAGTTATTACAGGCCTCTCTGATCCTGCAAGAGGGGTAATAACAAAAGGCAGATCATCAATTCAAGGACAATGGATATACAAAGGCTATAATTTATGATAAATAGTTAATAAAAGTGAGTTACATAAGCTCGTAATTGTTTTTTTAAGGTAAAAGGGGGCGGGGCATTTATTTCTTAAATATACTTATTTTTAAGTTTTGTGGCATTGGCACAAAACACCATGCGCCGGCAAGTCTCGTTGACTTTGGGAGTACATGGCTACCTTCTCTCCACGTGGTCCACACATACAAACACGTCACTGCTTCTGTAGACTTTCCAGTAGGTCCTCAATTTTGCCCATGTCGGACGCCTGCAGTGTATTCTGTAAGCTGCTCTGTATCTGGAGATTGGTCTGCATGGGAGTTGGCAGGCTTGTGTCAATGTTGGGCTGTAAAACAGGTTGCAGGGTCACCTGGGTGTTGGTCTGCATGGCGTTCTGCATGGCACTCTCCAAGCTGGACTGCATCTGTGCCTGGAGGCTGCTCTGTAGGCTGCTCTGTAGGCTACTGTGCATGGTGGATGACGCCTGGGCCATGGGCTGCTCCATCAGTGGCTGCATGTGGCCTGTGTTCTGGGCCTGGTTCTGAACTGGAAGGGTTGAGCCGGCGGAATTGAGCAGCTGGGGAGTGTCTGAGGAGGAGGACAAAATAGAAATACACCAGTGCGTCTTGACGTATGAGTGAATTAGTGACCAAGCTTGTTCATCGATTTACTTGTAGGCCCGGGTTTCACCACATGAAATTGTCTGGCCTCCCGAAGTGCCCTGACGCTAGCCTACCCGGACCACCAATACAAATTTCATAAATGAATGAAATGAAACCAATGAAACGCTTGCTTTCTAAAAATGTAATATTAAATATGAAGACTACATGCTTTGCAACTTCATCGACTGGTAGCCAAAAAGGCTTAACGTCGGCCACTGCAGTCACAAGTGGGACTGCAGACACCCTGAATAATGCCATTTAGCTACCTTAATGGTCCTTTGTTTTTTTCGAAACAAAATAAAAAAATAAGATCTGACAGTGTGAAATACATGCAAACTGGCCATGTCCCCATTCACGATTGCCCTACCAGTCCAGGTCATTTACAGTCACGTGGGAAATGTTCTTGCCTCTCCTGTGACCCTGAACAGGATTAAGGGGTGTGGAAAACAGATGGCTAGATAGACAAGTGAAACCAACTTACCATTCTGGATGCCAAACACAAACAAGTTGGCTGGTCCACCTTGGGCCACATTTTCACCCACAGTTGTCTGGAAAAGCTGTTCCGGGGGCTGTTGGCCAGGGCTGTCCACCACGCCTACAGCGCCCTGGACCACAAAGATGGTTGTACCGGGGGCTGCAGTCTGGTTGTTTAGCTCCTGCGAACTAAGAGTACTCTGTAGGCTGGACAGGGAGGCCTGGGGCAGGAACAGCTCCACCGATCGACTGTTAGAGACGCTAGAAGAGCTTGTGCCCACTTGCATGGGCTGCTGCTCATGGAAAATGCTGCGCTGTTGGTTCTGAGTGGATGTCGAGTTGTTACCCAAGGAGCTCTGATCCTGGAAGGACATTGGCTCGGCTGTTTCTGGTTGGGAAAGTCCAACTGAGATACTGCCCATCGGGGCTGATCCTTGGGTCTGCGTGCTGAAAAGGATAGTCTGGGGATTTAGTTCTGCAGTGCAGAGGAGCAGACCTGTCTGCTGTGGCTGGGAGAGCTGATTCTGGGGGAGAGGGTTAGGTTGCGAATGGTTGGGTATGCTTTGGAACAAAGAGCCTTGTTGGCCAATGGAAAGTTGTGGTGACTGTTGTTGATTTTGCTGTGGCGATTGCTGTTGTTCCATGGGGGTGCTTTGCTGCTGTATTTGCGAAAGCTGAGCTTGAGGCTGGTTATGAAACATGGGAACGGGCTGGGGCTGGCTGGTGGATGTCTCCATGGTGGAGATGAATGCCAACTGCTGCTGCTGTTGGGACTGAGAGTTCGGCGAAAGATACAGGGCCGACCCGGTGGACTGTTGCTCTGTGTTGAGGCTGCTGCTCGTCAAAACTGTCTGGAGCAGGGCCGCTTGTACCTGCTGTTGGGTACCCTGGGTCTCTGCAATAGGCCTGGGGGACTGGAAAAGCTGCTGTGGGGGCGATGTATGAGATGGGGGCTGTGTTGGGAAACTGGTTTGGATGGTAAGCATCTCACCAGGTTGCTGAAGGAGGGCGACCGGCTGCTGTACTTGGGGATTGGAATGGATTTGTGGCTGGAGCAACTCGGCCTGTAGTTGCTGTTGCAGGTTCTCTAAAACTTGCTGTTCCTGCAACTGTTGCTGCTGCAGGTTGCTCAATGTTTGGCTTTGTTGTTGTTGTAGCTGATGTTGTTGTAAATTGCTTAGAATTTGATTTTGTTGTTGATCCTGAAGCTGGATGTTGTTTATGACTTGTTGCTGATTCTGTTGCAACTGCTGTTGTTGGATGTTCTCCAGAATTTGTTGCTGCTGTAGTTGCTGTTGGTCTTGCGGCTGTAGAAGAAGTTGTTGTTGAATCTGCATGTTTCCAAGGACTTGCTGCTGTTGCTGCTGGAGATGGTGATGTTGCTGTTGAAGATTACTTAGTATTTGCTGTTGTTGAAAATGTTGTATTTGCTGCTGCTGCTGCTGCTGTTGTTGCTGTTGCATTTGATGTTGCTGAATCTGCAGCTGTTGCTGCGGCGACAGCGAATTATCTGCGGCTCCCAACCTAAGGCTGTTCATGTTCTCCTGGACGTGCTGTTGAAGAGTGTCTGCAGAGGAAGTGGGGCTGTAAAGCACAGAATTTAGCTGCTGCTGCTGCTGGGCTACAGCTGCCTCTATAACCTGCTGGAGTGTGGGATTAGCTCCAGCCTGGAGCTCCCTTACTGCCCTCTCCAGCTGGGCTACGCCTTCTTGGGCAAATAAGGGAACCTGTGACTGCTGTGGCTGGGGTGGAGAGGGTGCTGCTATTTGGGACATGGCTACAACCATGACTGCACCGTTGTTAGAACTTTCAGGCGGCAGGCTTTCCTGAGGGTCTCTAAGGAACTGCTGGGGGACTTCTGGGGTTACCGGGGGGATTGTTGGATCTCCTGACATTGGAAAGGACGCCGTTGGGGCAATGTCTTGCTTTTGAATTGAGTTAAGAGACTCGAGGCTAGGAAAGACAGAGGGTGCCTGGGGAAGTTCCACATCCTCAGGTTGTAGGGGCATTGAGCTCTGAAAGGACTCCCCACCTGAATGAGGGCTGGAGCTGAGCTCAAGTGTCTGCTGCACTGAAACAATTGGGGCAGGGGATTGCTGTGGTATGAATGGAAAAAACAGGGATCAGCAAACACTGTGATCGATGGCTTCTGCCTTGAACAGTTTATCAAATCTCACCTTGAACACGTTTGTGGGGTGTGGATTGCTTGACACTTCCATTGGTGTGTCCTCTTCCCTTTTCACAGGCTGACCAGAGCAGTCAGTTTGGTCAGAAGACACAGATTGGATCTGACTGTCAAATGTACATGTCTTGAAGGAAGGTTCCTCAATTTTTACTGCTTTAACATCGGCATTATCGGCTGAGGATAAGTGTAGGAGAAAATGACAGTATGATGATTCGGGGGAAAAAAAATATCCTAATATATATTCTTCCCAATGTTGATGATGAAGTTCGTAAACCCAAACCAGAATTGCAATGTAGCACTGATGGATCATACAAATTGAATTACAATGAAGTTGGGACATTGTGTTAAACATACATAAAAACAGAACACAATGTCTAAATCATATTCAACCTATATGTAATTGAATACACTACAAAGAGAAGATGTTTAATGTTCAAACTGAAGAAGGTAATTGTTTTTAGCAAAGCATCATTAACTTTGAATTTTATGGCAACAACGATATCTTGTCTTTGGAGTGTATTCAATGAACTACAAATTGAACATGATTTTCAAATCACACTGTTTTTATTTTTGTTTCGCTCAACGTCCCAACTTCATTGGAATTGTGTATGTATGCATGACTGTAAGAACGTTAAGTGTTATAGTCATGGTAGTCAACCACTGAGATAATTAATTAATCTCAGTGGTTGGCAGTACAGTAAAAAATACGTAAACAAGGCACTTTATTCTGATTACCTGAGTCTGGAGAATAGGTGAAAGGCTGGGCTTCGTGTGATTTGCCAGCATTGGTCATCACAAAAATTCCCACGGAAACTGGGGAAGTTATTGATTGGTTGTGGAACGGAGGAACTGTCACAATCAAATGATTCTATGGAAAATGGAGATCAGAAAAGCAGTTACAGTTGTATTCAAATTTATTCCATATGATCCATGCAGCAGGCCATTCTTTTTCATTAACCTGATGAAAAAGGTCCATGTCAATATTCGCCTCAGCTTGCCAGGAATTATCATCTACAAACATGAAAAGTATTATTTACCTCTTTCAAAGGTTCACATAGAAAAATATGAATTATGACAATAGATACCTGCAATATTCTCCTGAAATACAACTTTGGTTCCTTTGAGGAAGTTTTTTCCGATTATAAAAACTTCTTCTCCTCCTCTTACTGAGCAGCTGTGGAGACTCTTCTTCAAAATCTCTGGTACTCCCGCTGGCTGGGCTGGAAAACAGTATCAGATTAAAATGATCATTTTATGGCCTTATATTTAGCACAGGGAACAACTAAAAAGTTCATTTTGGTTCGATCCTTTCCTACTCACTACAGAGAATGGGTGATGAGGTGACTTGTAGGGTGAGGACGGATCCGTCTGTCTGGGTGATGTTGACTCGAAAGGCCAGTCGAGCCCGGGTGCTTTTCTTTTTGGATCCTGCCACTCCAATACGTGCCTCTACGTCTGCGTTGCGAAGTTTCAAAATTCCTACGCAGTCCACCCTGTACAAATACGGTGGAATAAATACATCTTGTGATTTTAACAGAAATCCCTCAAAATCACCCCCCTCCCCCAAAAGACTCATACGCAAGTGTCATGTCACTGCTGGGTTCCAGTTGGATCTCGATAACAGTGGTGCCCTCGATGTCCACTTCCGTACATGCAGTGGTGTTGCGACCAGTCACTCTGCATGCCTGGTAGAAGCCGTGAGGCTTCACTCTGCCTGCGTCATTCGCTACAAAAACTTGCAGCACTACTGGCTCACTCACACCCTCCAACTGGGAAGAAAAAGCAATGATATTAACAAAACAGATCAACCTGATTAATAATAACTATGTTCTCAGGGTGAGCCTTGGCAGAGCAAAGGTCACAATTGACAAATTGTCCTTTCAGGTACAGTGAACACCCTTCTATATCGCAGTTCACTCCTCACACCCCGCGATATTGCAGAATTTGAAGCAATCATTTTTTTCAGGGTTTACAGAAAAAACTGAGTTTTGAGTTGCGCGGCTTCATTGTAAGACCATTGTGCTACAACGTTCCGCGCAGCACTGAGTTCCAGTGGAAGAAATCCATCGTATTTAACGGCAAAGAGAGGATGCCACCTCAATGCAATATAGCACCATGTTTTGCTGCTCTGTGTATTAAAGTAGAAGTTTTTTGAAGGTTGATAATTATTGTTACGTCAATTCCAATTTCTAAGGCATTTTACATTATATGTCAGTCAGCATTTTCATGAATTAACATTATATGGTTTGTTCAGGCTTGGGGAAAAATGAGTATATGTACCATCATTACATATTCCGGATACAAAAAATGTTTTAACTATATTCCGCTACAGTTGGGAGAAGAGGAAAATCAAGCAACAGAGTACTGGTACATTTATATATATATATAAAAAAAAGAAAATCAGCACAAATATATTTATTTTATACACTTAAATTGTTTAATTTTAGGGATGGAAATGTTCATTTGTTTTTTAGAGATAATATCCTTTTTTCTGTTATGATCAGCAGAAAAATACGATGTGACAGAGCAAGAGTTATGACTTAACTTGCTTGAAGGTAGTAATAACTTGACTTGCTTGAAATTTGGTGGCGACTCCCCTTGATTTTTTTTTCTCCACAGTAATTTAGGACTTGCAGGTTTTGCCTTGGCTTACTTGCGACATGCAGATTTGTGACTTACTCCCATCTCTGATTGGGAACGATAAACATGTTGAAGTAAGCAAATTTGCCTCTGATTTGGAAAACTGTGTGAGTAAGACTCTTTATTTCTTCAAAGAGTGATGTGATACAGTCGTCCAATTCTTCACAGCAAGAGCATGACAACAGGCACTGAGGCATACTCGTGCATTAAAAAAGGTAGTAAATTTTACTAAGTTTTGCTGTGCTAAAACGTGAGAAATTATAATTCAATTATAATCATAAAATTAAAAATGAGAATGAATTTGATCAGCAAAATGCAAAATTTTACACATATTTCTCTCTCTAGCTAAAACATTCTATGGTCCCGAATCACAGATTTTTTTTTTTTTTTTTTTTTTACATATCATGGGGGGGTCTGGAACATATCCACTGCGACACCCAGGAGTTAACTTAGTTCTTTTCCACACAAACAGACAGACCTATGTTTATCTAATGGTCTTTCTGTAGGCTACACAGCACAACTCCATGTTGAGTTGAGCCACCTGCCTGTTTGGAATTATTTCTATCTAAAAAATTTTATGGTCCCGAAAACCAAATTTTTTTTTTTTTTTTTTTTTTACATACATGTGAGGGTCTGGAACATATCCACTGCGACACCCAGGAGTTAACTTAGTTCTTTTCCACACAAACAGACAGACCTATGTTTATCTAATGGTCTTTCTGTAGGCTACACAGCACAACTCCATGTTGAGTTGAGCCACCTGCCTGTTTGGAATTATTACTGCGAGGATGCAAATTACTTTTTAAATTGTGTATAGTCGTCACAAAGCTCAGCAAAGAACATTGGTGTTGGACTTGGTCTTAGTGTGATGAGTAATGTGTCTATCATCCCATTGCCAATAAGCAGTGAGTAGCCTCTCTTGTCCAACCTTGATGGTCGGGAATCCCTGTTGTGTGCGGTCTTTGACAGAACCTCGGCTGCCTTCAGTCAGATATCGAGCTCTGTGCTGTGTCTCAGGCTGCACCAACATCTTTAGCTCCTTCCCGTTGCTTTTTTGAGGGAACTGAGTAGATAGCGAGCCACCCTTCACTGCAGTCCCAGACTCAAGAGAGCTGAAATGAAATGAATAATGTAAGTGCCTCAGTCAGAAGTACAGTGATACCTTGTATTGCAAGAGCCATAATTTAGGTGTTTTTCGACTTTGGTATTTCATTTGCTTGCAAGAATGCAGGTTTACAAGCAAGCTGCAGCAAATATGCTGCAGCTCGAGTGGCACAAAAAACAAACAAACAAAAAAAAAAGCATAATTAAGGGACGATAATGCCCTCACATGTGGGCAAAGAAACCCACAGTTGCAAATGCACTTTCAGACGTTTATTGAACAGCGCAAAGAGTCAAAAACATACAATACTAAATGAGAACACTTGCAAGGAACTGCTGTAGGCCACCCAATTCAAGCTCCTGATGTTAATAGGCCCCTTATACTCCAATACATAGTGATGAAATTGATCACATTTATCTCTTATGTTTTTATAAGTGGTGTCAAAATTAGCACATTAATAATGAGTTAACTTGAAGACCATTTCATGCAGCAACGCCGATTAACCCACGCCCCTTATTAGGCAAGCCTGATACTTGGAGAATTTGGGCTGCGATGTAGCAGACACATCTAATTGCTCTCTAGAAATGCAGGACACTCCAGCCAATATATACAATGGCGAAGCCATTTGGAGTCTGAAGCCCCAACTACCTTTTCCCTGCTTTAAATGGGGAACACACTCGGCAGCCTGCTGGTTAGCAGTTATCAATGAGCTGGGAAATTACTCAACTGCGTTATGAGCTTGGTCAAGGTACCACTGTAATACAGGTGGCTTTTGTGGATTCAATTAGAAGGACAGTGATACACACCTGGTCATGGGGCTAGTTTTGTCCGGCCCAAGCTGGGACAGGACAAAGTGAGGCGCCTTGGCACTGTCAGCGTCAAACACATCCATACTGTCCTCTGGGTGAGCAGGCTTGGGGCCCGGCCGCTGGCGAGGGGTTCGTTTTCTGGACTTGCGCGGCACCTCCGTGTTGTCGTTGTAGGAGAAGGCGCTGACCAAGCTGAAGTTGGAAACTGAGTCATCAGCCCACATGCTACTGCTATGCTCGGAGTCTGGACCCAGCGCGCTGGCTACGGGGGGCTCCTCTAAGCAGGACATCTGACTGTCATCGAACAGATCCTCAGGTGGCGGGGATATGCTCAAAACCGGTCTCCGCTTCGATGGGGTGTTTTGAGGCTGCTGAACTCCAAGCCCTGACAAGACCCCTGACCCAGGATCTCCTGCTGCAGCACCTGCTCCGCTGTTGGTCCTGTTGGGAGCAGACGCAGCTCCTGCCTCCATGACTTGCACTTCCGACGCGACAGCTCCATCCCCTCCAGCCGAGTGGAGATTCTGGGGGGCCTTGAGATGGTTGGAGGAGGACGTGCCAACGGAGCTTGGGGCTCCCATGGCCAAGGAGGAGGAGGCAGTAGGGTTGGAGGTGGAAGACGTGGCATCTGCAGCAGCATGAGACAAATAAGTCAGAAAGGAAGATCGGCACGGAGCAGGCTAGCAGTCCCACTCAAGCAGTCCCACTCAAGCAGCTGAATTTGTGCAAGGTTTGAATTGATTTTCCCCTCTTCCCAACTGTAATTTCTAGAATGTTATGGGTCCTATGCCCTCACTGTGCATGCGAGAGCTGTCAAGCATTGATCACAAATTCTGAAGTTAAAGTTGAGAAGGGTACGATAGGTCCCACAATGTTTTGATTCCTACAAAAACCCTTTCTCCCATATATCAATGTGACAAAACTGACATGCTTCGTTTACAAAAACAAAAGCAAACTACAAATTCGTACATACACATTGCCAGAAAGAAACTTAACAAAATCTGGTCAGAACTTTCATCCATAAGCCCAATTTGCAAGCTGGTAATGTGGAGTCAAATTAAATTTGCCAGGGTTGCCAGGGTTATCTTACACTTTGTGCAATGTGCATTCAGTAGTCAAAAGCATTTTGCGCATGCCAATTGGAAGATTTTGTTGGGACTGAGCGTAGCCATAGAGACAGAATAAACAAGCCTCTGACCTATGGAGCAGTGAACTGCAGACCATTTTATATGCAGACACTCCCTGCCTCAGAGGGAACTTCCTGCAATAAAAACGAGACAGCCAATGAGCAACAAGAGAGCTGATCATTCAAGACTCTGTCAATCAGTAAATTGGATATCTTCAAATTGTGGAGGGAGCACTGCTTTGTGATGTTTTGAAGCATTCATTTGGCTCCTGATCCTCAGAGGGACTTTACAGCATCTCATGCTTCCGATCAGCACTGTTTAGGGTCAGGATAGAAAAAAAGATTCATTAACAGTGCAGCTGTCTCAATAATAACACTGTTGACCAGTTTGTATTAGTATTCCAGACTAAAATCATTCCCACTTATAATGATGGTGTCTCTCCTTAACCACGATCCCAGGTCTGACCACATGAATTTGTCCAGTCCAATGAATAAGCAACTTCACTCTTTTATTAGGATATGTAGATCCTTTCTATGTGGACTAATCGCAGCTTCTCTCAAGCACAATATTTATAACTTTAATTACTTGAAATTTCCAACTTTCTGAATATTTACTATAGAAGTGAGAACCACACATTGATTCTTGTTTCTTCAGTACTTTTTCCTTTTTCTAAAATGCCGAAACACTACCACTCGCTATATTGGCACCTTCAGAAAGATGTGTAAATGTGTGTTGGTAACTGAAAGAATAGCACATTGGCACAAACTACATTATTACACATTACAGCCTCTCATAAGGGTGATGTCGGAATAAATGGGTTATTTGAGGCAACAGCCAGTGTCCTGATCTGCGCCGGCAGATGATGCTGCATTGATGTTTCACTGCAATGTAAGATTGGATGACCCAAATGTTTATTTTCAAATGCCCAAAAAAAAAGCAGAGTGACAAAAATCATCAAGCACAAGCATCAGAGGGAGACGTGCAGAAAAAAGGTGAGTGAAATGACAAAGTCTGTTAGGGATCCTGTCAGTGAACAGCAGCTTGAATAGGCAGACATCATTTCACTTGAGTTTAAAAGAGCTGAAATGATGTATGTGATGTAGGCCTTAATAAAAATGTAATTACGGGGCCTTTCGACATGGAAATGACCTGAGGCCCACATTGGGATTGACCAAAGAATGGCTTCACCAAAAACCGGGACAGGCTCTTAGATGAAAAATGTCATGGCTGAGAAGGCAGAACAGGGAGGACAGACAGAACAGCCACAAGCAAGACTGGAGACCCCCTGGATGCCTCCGTTTATCAAAACTATTTTTTTAATGTACTTTGGTACCTTGACGGACAAGTTTGCTTTATCCTGTGACCAAGCTCAATGGAAATGTTAAATGTCATTAATACAGACCCCTCCGCCCCTTCAATTTACTTATATTATCATTCAGCCTACTGGCAGTGCCGGCTGCTGAGTTCAATGTGGCAGACTATATTTAGTTAAAAAAAAAAAAAAAAAAAATTAGCATGATGTCACTTAGTCTGGTAATAATCCATTTTTAAAAGTCGGATAGTTAAGAGCAGCATGCACACATTGCGGTTGCAGTATGGATGAACGTAGCATCCTCACACAAACACGAACGGTGAGCCATGCCGCTGCTACTATGACTGCAACAGGTATGAAATCAGAACAGTAATCAGTTGAACAGCTATGAAGGGAATGTTGAAATGCATCATATGGTGACGGATACATTTGTCTCGGGAACCGGTGAAAGGGTCAAGTTGCCCTTAGTCGCCATTTAAGGGCAAATTTCCTCCTGCTCTCCCACGATTATTGGAGAACAATTGAGCAAGGGGAACCTGATCGCAGACCATGGCATTTGTCGGTCGATTCGGTGGCTCACCTGAAGCCAAGGCTGCAGACGGAGGAGGCCCCGCCTCTCCTCCGCTCTTCTGGCTCATGGTGGTTGGGTCGGTCTGGGTGGATGACTGCTGGAGCTGGAGCTCTTTGGGGAGGAGGTCATATACAGACTCTGAAATAAAAGATGAGGCGGATACAGCATGTTTTAAAAAGGAAAAAATATGCAACAGTGACCTCACTCACTGAAATAGAGATCGCAAGAACTGTGAGCTTAAGTGTTATAGTGCAATAACTACTAAATGATAGTGTTAAATAAAATCAGGTGGAAAAAAAGCATTTGGAAACTTGGCCAAAAGAGGAACTTAAAAATGAAAAGAGAAAATGTTTGTCCCCATTTGCAGAAGTCAGTGGGTTTCAATAGCACGTCGTCCATAGCTATATCAAAGTTAGCCAGATACTGAATTTATAGCACTTTTCTACAGGAGCAACTGTAGAAAAGTGTTATCCAAACAAATGGAAAACCATAGCTCCCAGTCTTATGCGGGGGTTCTTGCCCATTCACACACACAAGAGCCTTTGACCGGAGGACTAATATTGGGAGGCACGCTTTCATAGGCACACTGGAAAAGCCTCAACAATTCTAAACTGGAATCATAGTTGTTCAAATGTTTAAAATGAAGATTTGGGGTCAACTTAGTGGAGGAGATATTTTTATACTGTCATGGATTTATTTGTTTTCAGACAGCTACAGACCAGTCACCCATTTTCTCCCTACAATATGATGGTATTGTACGTCACTCAAGTTACACTCTCTCAGTTTGCTCTTCAAAAAGAAATACTGGAATAGGATGAAAGAAGACCCGGACATCAAGAGCAAAACATTTCCTACGTCTACAAATTCCACTGGCGAAACTGAAACAACAAACGGCACCCCAGGATTAATACAATTATCCACCAGTGGAGGGGTTTAGCGAGTTGAAACCCACAGAAGCATTCCTGGATACTTGACAGCAACGTGATTCCTAGAAACTCATTACCAAGCAGCACGGCGCCCCTGGAATAAACCCCGCTCAATGGCCTACATAGGCGATTAGGTAGTCTGGTTGCTAGGAGAATGGGGTGTTATCAAAACCCGAGCATGGCTATTTCAGCTGTGCATCAGTGCCGCCAGGTATGTGGAGTAGTCATTTGATACCCGCCAATCACTGAACACCGGCATAATGTCGAAAGTGACAAGACACATGATCCGTAGTGACATCAGCAACACCACTGACAGATGGACACAGCAAAGGTAATGCCTCTCACATGAGCATCTTATACCGGACAAAAGAAACAAAAAACACAGAACAAACAAAAAAAAAAGGGCTCCATCAACTGTCTGTTGTTCATCTCGATATAATCTGCTTTACGAATAGAGTTGCTGAAGCACTGCGAGCTTTTGTCCAGAGGGATTGAAGTTATTACCAACAGGAAATTGCAGTGTCTCAACAAAATGGCACTGGACATATCATGCTTCAAATGCCAACATTTGAAAAATGCAACAACAATGGTGCTGTTAAATTACAGACGTATTAAAAAAAAAAAAAAACAACTTTATGCTACCTGTGGAAACCGCTTTTTCACAGTAACATTGAATGGTCCAAAAAAAAAAGTTTTTCTCACAAGGTTCAGTATATGACAAATATGTTTCTTATCGGAGCCTTGTGGACAGGATTGGAGGTCTGTGGATGCGAGTTTAGAATGCAATCTATATGCAATATACACAAATACAAATTAGCTTTACATGATTAAATTAGAACATCCGTAATTCACTTTTGCCAAACATGGGCCATGACACCTGACCTATATTATCAGCCCAGCGAGGAAACCAGTGTGGACATGTGATATGATGTGTCAACACTGGATTAATTTATGTCATTGCACCGGTTCGACTGGAGCCCATGGCACTTTAGAATGCTTCGGAGCATTAGCCAAGAAACTTCCCTTTTATTTATGTGGCCCGGAGCAGTTTGACGTAGCAGAAATTGCCATAGAGGTCACTCAACTTCCCATAGAGGACACCATCTCTTCTAATTGAGACCGAATCAGCATCTTTAAGGTCTCTTTAAAATGTGTTCTAAATTGAACACTCCATAGAGAAGAGTGTTGTTAAAAGCCCTACTAAATGTGAATTATTTAAAAAAATAAATGGGCAAGTACAGTTCCGTGAAAAAGTATTTTCCCCCTTCTATAATCACATTTTTTGGGCATTGTTTATCCACGTGTGAATGTTTAAAATCATCAAACAAATGTAAAGATCAGACAAAGATAACCGACGTAAACACAGAATCACCGGTAAGAAGTAAGGTAATTGGCATCGATCCACCTGGAAAGGGTTACAAAGTCATTCCTAAAGCTTCGGGACTCCAGCGGCTCACTAAGAGCCATTATCCACAAAATGAAAAAGCACAGATCAGTGGTAAACCTTCCCACGAGTGACCAGCCTTAAATAAATCGATAATGTAAAATCTTCCATTCAATGTTGGTGGAAATGTGTTGATTTTAAAAATAAAAACGTATCATGTCTACACCACATTATTGGAAAGCCAGACAGATCCCTCCGGCAGCTTTGGAATTGTTTAAATTTCACATTTCCCATCTGCTGATAAAGTTGCAGTAATGTTTTGGTATTGTTTCTGGATTTGTTTTTGTAGCTGTCATAAGATATCTGTACAAGTTCAGTTCAAGGTGGGTACGCATAAGCAAACACAAGGTGGACGGACTAACATTAGACTGCATTTTAGACAAATTAAATTAGCTCACGTTAGAGGCACGCGCAGCTGATATTACACATGCCTAAAAGGTTTTGTCACGCGACAAGGTCACTGGTCCATTTTTATTCTTTGCAGCTGGCTTTGCGGTTGGAGGGGTAGTGGGGGGTGCCAGCCGAATGGCTATTCACAGGGGCAATGTTTTTGGTGCACATATGAAATATGTCGCAACAGAATGCATCCCTGCACTAAAACGCTGCAGCTTTAATTATACTCTTGAACGGATAACGATGCACTTGTGATGGACACAAGACAAAGATCAACTGATTCCTCTCAAACCCCACTGATTCGCCCATTTGGACTACTCGCCTTTTTTCTGTAAAAGGATGTAGTGATAAGTTAACAGGATGACGTGTGTGGCTTCAACCCCTGCCATCTAGTTTTTTGTTTCTCAAATATATATTAGAGTGGCCTTACTTAGGCAAACGAAAATGTGGTGGTGGCAACTATAACTGAACGCACTACCTCGTGAGAGTGGCTGGTGGTCGATTCCGGCAGAAACGGATGCGTCAATGAAATGTGAGATGGCATGCTTTGAAAACATGGCTTGCAAGTGGGTATTACATTTCTTTGTATGCGTTTTGGGTGACTAATGAGAATCGCAGGCACCCGTGTAGGAACCCCCCCCACTAAGAAATCATAGTTATAATAATGCTGAATGAGTTTTCTGTATTCCCAAAAGCAGTTTGTTGTACACCCTATATTAGTCACGAGCCACATTCACATCCAAGGAAAAATGAGGGTCGAGGGTATGCATGTCTAATGCAAACATTGAGCTGGACAGAAAACGGTGGGTCAACACTCAAATAACCAAGCTAATATTTAGCTTATAGACACATACATAAATACACACACAGCATTGGGTTACATAGACTGCGTGGATTAGAGTTGCATTTTCCTTGTGTGCCCCTCAAATGCAGTTTTTCGGTTTGTGATATGAATTGTTTTCCTTCTATTAGAAAACAACATTAGGTTAGGCCAGGGGTAGGCAACCCAAAATGTTGAACGAGCCATACTGGACCAAAAAAAAAAAAAAAAAAAAAAAAAAAACAACAACAACAAAAAACAAATGTGCCTGGAGCCACAACAAATTAAAAGCCTTAGAAAGAAGGCAACACACACTGTATGTATCCATATTAGCCTACTATGAAAATGACTACGTTGGCTACAAATACCCAATGAGCCTTCCCGATGAAATGTTTTTTTCCCATGCAGGTATCCTTTAGAGCAGGGGGGGCCAAACTTTTTTGACCAAAGCTCTATTTTTCGATCAACCAGCCTCCCACAATCGACCCGTGACCGCACACGCACGCGGTTACACACGCATGCCATAATGAGCGACAGCCATAACAACCACTGAGATGAACAAGGCACAGGACGCTCTTTTGCAGCGTGTTAACTTTCGTAGCTGATGGGTACCATTTTAATACTTCTCTCGGTTTTTCAGAGTTGCCATTCTTTGCCAGTTCCCTCAGTGAATTGGACATGAAACACCGTTTCTTCTTACAACAGCCTGGCATCCCGCCCTGCTAATAGAAACGTGTGTCGCAGGCTGTGACGCAAATTTTCATTGACTGAAATGTTGATATGTAATATTTATTCGACACATTTTTACAGCATCGGAAAATGTTAAGAATGTTTGTCCTACAGAAACCATATTCAAACAAAAAATATATTTTATCTCCCCCATCTTTTTCCATTTTCAAACATTTTTAAAAAGCTCCAGGGAGCCACTAGGGCGGCGCTAAAGAGCCGCGGGATGCCGACCCCCGGGTTAGGCACATCAATTGGTGCTCAGTAGCATGCTTTAAGTTTGCATCAATGCATTTTCTTGAGGTCCTAAGAAAAAAAAAGACCTTTTGAGAAAACTTTTGAGTTCATACGTTTGATATTAAGATACTGGTTAAAATTAGTTCTTTGAGAAGTTCACAAAATCACAGAGGAGTTCAAGAAGTTTTATAGTAAATAAGCCAAACGAAGAACTGGAGTGTTAGTCTAAAAAAACGGTAGAAGTGCCAATGATGCATGAACATTGGCATGTTGACGGCCAGACGGTGGACAATGGAAAATCAGGATCAAGCCCAAGAGGTGTTTTATTTCTGTTGTGTTAAAGCCCCCTTGGTCTTTCCGCCCATTAACGGCGCTCCACTGCGTGAGTGTTTCGCACACATTTGCAGCTAAAAATAGAAATGTGAGCTGTGCAATGCAATTAGGGGTGCGTGTTCAAATTTAAAATAAAATTCAACCCGGGACTAGAGGGGTGACCTACAGGTAATTGGCTTCCCGTGCAGCATACTTCAGGTCCCTTTTCCAAGCTTTCCGTCTTTCAAAATGCTAAGGAGAACGGCAGCGGAGTGCGAAT